CTTGGAGCACAAAGGCGCAACCAGCACCTATTGGATTTTTCATATGCAACTATGATTGTTGGATAAAACGCAGCCAAGAGGCTCATCAACCGGAACACAAAGAGATGGAAAGGTCACGCTAATCAGGAGCAGGGAGTGGAAGAAAGCAGGAGAAAAACAAAGGCGGGATGAGAGCCCGCAACAACGTGACATTCAGCTGTGTGCGTTCACACCTCGGAGACGAAGAGTGCAACCGTCGAGCCGAGCTGCACTCCTACATGCAAAAGTCTCTTTGCTCGGAGGAGCAACAGAAGTACCTGTAGTGAAGTGATAAGGGTTTCTGATCCACAGCCAACCTGAGCAGGGCTGACCACGTTCACCTTCGATGATCGGTTCCTTCTGGATCAATCGGAGTAAATGTTTGTATAAAATGAATCAGATAAGGTTTCCCGTTTTGAGTCAGGAAACCGTATCGAAATCTATTCTGTTTGCTAAGTGGCAGAAAGCTATGGGAAGATGTTTTCGTTCCTGTCTTCGCCAAGATTACTATGCTTTTAACAGTTCAAGAAATCCCTGATGAAGATGTTAAGCTTTGTAAGCTTCTGATAGGGTAATTAGCAACTCATGGGCTAAATGAAGCCCGTGAATGTATTTTAAGGAAGCGCCACAAACACACAGCTTTCTTTTCTGACATCACAAAAAAGATTAAAACATCAGCCAAGATATCAGGAAGAGAATTGTCCTCCTCCTGAATCGTGATGTTCACCTTACAGTAACATTTCCAGATGCCTAAAGGTGCATCTTTTCAAACAATTACTCACTTTGAAAAATCCAGTGATAACACCATTTAAGAAAGGCTTTCTGTGCCTTGAAGGTGAAAAAATGCTTTGGTTGCAAATATGTGAATAAACCCTAGGTTGAAAGACTATCTCCATTGAAAATAGCTTACTCAATATGAAAGGCTTACTCAAGATAAAAACAGGTTTTCCAAATGGAGACAACCTAAAGCATTAGCTACAAAATAACCTAAAGGTAGCAAAAATATTTGCAGAGGACATCACAAAAACCCCTATCTCAGTCCTGCAACACATTTGTGGGCCGCTTACTGGTTACAGGTCTGTATCTACCAAAATTTCAGCAAACTATTTTTCTTACTTCACAAAACCTTGTAGGAGACATCGTACAGTCAGGGGGGGAAAGCAATTTTACCAAATACTGAGGAAATGCATACCTCCTGACTTTAGGGAAATTATTGAAAACCTGCCCCTGGGAAAGACTTCACTCATTATTTTGATAATTAGCAAATAGAAATAAATTAGGTAATCCCAACTGACCAAACCCACGAAAGTTTTTGGCCTGTTTTTGTTCCAGACAGAGAAATGAATGGGTAAGTGCTTTCTTAAACAGTACACGTTTTCCAACCTTTTCTGTCTAAAATTAATTCACACAAAGAAAAAAAAAACGCAGTAACCTACACACACCTGAGAGTCATGTTGCTAGAGTTTATAATTATTAGCTGGAGGACATGATTACACTGGCTCTGGGAATTACAGAAGGGGCGCCAGTGGCGCAGCAACGGGTTGGGTTTATTTCACCTCCTCAAAGACAGAGAGACATGAAATGGAGTTTAAATGTCACCCATTTTGCTGGTCACCTTTGCAAAGAATCGCTTCATACATGCTGTTTGCTGGCACATAAAAGAAAAAGTGATCAAGAAAAGAGTCTTCATCAGTGATAAAGACATATGTGCAGGGAATATTTTGCTTTTTAGGTAAAAGTATAATCCTTACCCCCACCCCAGAAAAAAAAAAAAAGCTCCCAAGATAATAATCGAACACAAAGTGTTTCTTTCCTTCATTCTCAGGCTCCTCGGCACTAACAGTCAGCATCTCTCTTCCTCTCTCTCTCTCCTCGCCCACAGGAGATCACGGCAAATCAAGTTTATTACAGTCTCTAATTACAATTACAGTCTCAATGGGCTTCACAATGGAACAATAAATGAAAATGATAAATGAAAATACTACGCCTCCTTCTTTTCCCCACTAACCTTAGACCCTCAGTGGGAACAAAACAACAGCCTATCAAGAAAACTTAATCAGGGACAAATAGCAGGAAACCCAGCAGTGAAACTCACCGGGAGGAAAAAGCAATGCGGATTGTGGTGGAAACTGATGAAAACTGCCCGGTTTGTGTACCCATGAACACGGTCCAAACACAATTCTGGCAGGAATTTTGATTACTCCTTTTATCAGGAATTATAGAGGTCATCTTAAGTAGTAAATGGCCTGGATTTCTATAGAGCTTTATTAAGTACAAGGACTCCAAAGAATACCATAAACAATTTCTTTTCATTTGACAATGACAGATTGGGTCAGGAAGTAAAACTTGGGCACGATTGTGTGTTGTAACAGAACCATGATGAATCCTGAACACATTTTGGAAGGAATAAAAACTACTAAGATTAAGATTCTGGAATGGCCCAAACCCTGGCTATGTTCTAGATGTATGGTCCGATGGTTTGGTTGCTGACAGAACAGTTACCAGTTTAAAGGTCACTGTTCTAATTATTTCAAGTGGCATTGCTAAACATCAAGACAGACTCGTACCATGTTGATGGCCACAACAAGGTGTGCGGTAGAAGTGTTTTGCTCAGGGACATTCAACCAAAGGTCAATGGAGATGTTTCCACACAGCCTGGCCAAAATCAAAACATCACCAACTGAATTTAACTAAGAAAAAAATAGGTACAAGCCATGTAGTATTTCTTTGAGTAACTTGAGAATTGCTTCATTGGCAATTTTCTTTCAGCTAGGAATAGGTTATTTTCTCCAACTTATGTAATGATTAGTTGATCAACTTTATGAAAGACACATCCAATGATCTTTGAAAAGATGTCAGGGTGAAATCTATGGCACACATCAGGCAGAGGAAAGGTCTAAGCAGATTCCAGAAACCTTTAGTATTGGGTTAAGAAATACCCAATTTATAGTTACAACCTGGGAAGAAAGATCTTTGAAGAAGATGATTTAAATGATGAAATCAGAAATCGCTTTAACGTGGCAAGATTGAATCAAAGAATGGTAAATTGTCTGTACTTGTTTGGAGCTTTATCAAGTCCAGAGGACCCAGATAGCACGTCACACCTCATTCAGTCATTCAGTGAATGGTGGCAAGCACCAGTAGCGTGCTTGCCACCATTCACACGTAAATGGCGGCAAGCTACTGGATTGTAGCCACAGCTGGTGCCCCAGGGCAGTGTAACAGAAGCGAGGTTGGCATGCACTGATACTCCTGAACCCTCTGACCGCCTCCAGCAGGTGAGGCAGGTGAAGCATCTTGCCCAAAGCCATCAGGCAGACAGACTGAGGGAAGCTCAAACCGACCTAAGACGACCTCCTACCTCAAGAGTCAAACTCAGAGCTACGGCTAACAGTAAAAGTAGGAACATTTCCGCATGCACAATGTGAAAGGAACTTTGTTCAGTCCCAATCCATTGAGAAAACCACTGATCAGTGAGGCTCACCAGAGACAAAGGCTTTGATTTGTAAAGGAGAATGAAGATTGGACTCCAGAACAACAAAAAAGGTTTATGTGGTCTGATGTGTCCAGAGTAAATATACCTGGATATACCGAAGGACCAGGCTATTCTGTACCGGCACAATCCAACGTGACAATGCCAGGATAAATCATGTGGCATTGAACAACTATGCCACGGTAGATGAATGCTGTGATAAAAGCTGACTGCAGTCCAACAAAAAATAAGGAGTGAGTGACCTTTTCCTTTTTTTGTTTTGGTGTTGTAGAACAGAGAAAATTTACAACCAGTTCAAATTTTTCTCCAAAATTAACATCATCTTCAAGATGACCAGAACTGTGTGTTACTCTGTAGACAACATTTTCAATAGACGTCACTTTACTCTACTGCATCTAAACACATAATCATATTTAGCGTAGTCCTCTAAGAGAAACTATAATCAAATCAGCCACAACAAGGACACAGTTGACACTTTTCTGCATCAGTCTTGCTAATATTTAATTTTAATACATTTATCAGTCATTATCTACACCAAATTTCTAATCTAAAGAAACTATGTAGACGTTGTAGCTGATATAAGCCACATCACGAAGACATTACTATGGCGTCTTTCTGCAGTTAAGAAGTTAATGTGAACATATAATAAAGATAATTCCGAAGACACATTCATATTTTCATTGGAGCATCAGTTTATCTACATAACCTCTCTGAGGACACATTGGTGCCTGAACTCTTGCAGCAGTTTGCAGAAATCCCCCCTCCTGTAACCACACAGCCATTTTAATGTCAGATGAAATCTGGCTGAGAGGTCGTGTGGATCAGTTGTTGCTTCTCTTGATAGTTGTGACATATCTGTGTTCATAGCGTAGAACAAAATCAGGTCAGGGTCTGCTGCTCGCACAAACACACCTGGGAGTTGGAACAGAGCAAACACAACTTCTTGCCATTTGCTGCTGTGTGAGCAGCGGGTTAGAGGTGCCGTTACCTCCTCCCTCATGAGGGCACCTTGGGCACAGAGAAACAAAAGTGAGGAGTCTCTCATATTTCGCCTGTCTTTCCTCTCCCCACTTTTTTTTTTCTTTTTTTTTGTGCCATGGTTTCTGGCGAGACAGCAGCACCCCAAGGTCATGAAGTGGGGGATAATCAGCTCCCATTTCCTGCTGCTGCACTGACTCAGATGAGATTACTTTATCACTGTCAGCAGCAGCTATAAGGCTGGGCATCTCTGTCAGTCCAGGCTGAACCTTTGGGCACCTGCGTCAGAGCTCAGACCGCCAAAAGCCCACGGAGTAAGTGGGCCCACTCACCGCCGTTTCACGTCTGAGAGGCTGCTGCTGCTGCTGCACACAGGCGCACAACGAGGAGGAGGGAGGCTGGATGAGGGGGAGATAATGGATAAAGGAGGGGGGAGGGGGGTTAAGGGTCCTCTGGTTGTCGGGAGCATCAGTGACAAGCTGCTCGGTTAAACCCTCTCGCAAGACGGTCCACTGCCGTGTGCATGTGGGGTTCTGATCGCCTTGACAAATCAACGTCTCCAAACCAGCCCCCGGGTCCAGGGTTTGCCCCTCCTGCCCAGCACCAATCTGAGCAGGGAAGGAGGAGGGGGGCGGGAAGGTTAGTTTGAAGAGGGCAGAGCTTTGCGAAAGCACGCCAAATTATCCCCTATTTCACCGCTGGAAAGAGAAAAAAAAAGGGAAAAAAAACCCAGTGGATGATAACAGCTGAGGGTGAAATCAGACGGACTAAGCGTCAGAACCTCATTAACTCCAAGGAGGGAGAAGAAACGGCAGGAACGCAACCCTCAGTGCTGCGGGTGAGATTCACATTTTTTATTATTATTAATTATTTTTTTTATTTTTTCAACGCTCGTCTTTACCTGTGCACGAATGTCTCGTGTTGATGTTGTTTTTTTTTTTTGTTTTTTTTTTTGTTTTTTTTTTTTTTTTTTATAAAAACAAAACCAAAAAAAAGAGAGTTGCGTTAACGTTCAGGTCCGAATGACAGCGGGACGCGCGTCCTGACGTCCTCGGCAGCAATGTTTCATTCAACATGCAACAACTGCTGTTTACGGAGCCACCGCAGCACAACTGACGGCTTAACAGGTCGCCGCGGCTAAAGTGGAGACGACGCCGAACCGAGGATGCGGCGCTGCTGCGTGTCGTTGGCGCTCGGGAAACAAGTAATGTTGTTTGAAAACGCGTCTCTCTTTTTTTTCCTTTACGTGCTAAATAATTGTTTCGTCTGTTTGGCTCGTGGTCGAAACGCAGCGGAATGCGACACCGTGGCTCGTGCGGGTAATTGTTACTTTCTGTTAATAGGCAATTAACGTAGAGCGCGTGACGTCCTTTTCCCCCTCTGACTCTCTCTCTCTCTCTCTCTCTCTGTGGCTTTAATGTTTACATGAAATAATAAAACGTGAGCGCGTGAGTCCCAACTCCGGTCTCGTGCTTTGACCCCCCGCGCGCCATTCAGCCCGTCAGAGAGGACATGCCGCAACATGAGAGAAGACTGTTGAGCTGAGGCTAAGTTAACCTTGGAATAGACCTCCCCACCCCGTTAAGGCTGTCTGCGTCTCCCCCCCACCACCCCAACCTTGCAACACCACCTTCTCTTTAGCTCAATTGCATACTTCTGACGTTTCTTTGCTCACAAGTTTGTTTGCTTTTTAATGACAAAATGCCTTAAAGAGAATGTGAAGGGCTTCTCATTGATGCACTTAAACGCATAATGACCAGAGGCACGTCTGCTCCCTTCTTTACCTCTTTTCCTTCGTTGCTGCCCCTGCATGTTGTGTGTTGTGACAACTGCTAGAATAATGGATTTTGTAACATTTAGATCTGCCTTTAATATCCACTTGATGGCAGAAGTTGCCCCCCCCCCCTCCTCTCCATCTCCATGAAAAGTATGTAGAAAATGGGTCAACAAAGACAATGCAAACAAAGAACAAGCACTCATAACATACAGACTGTCTACATGTTGAAGCAGTTTTGATTTCCCAGCTGACTCCAACACTGAATCACATACAGGCTTAAATGTCTATCTTAATGTTTCAAGCAGTTTGTGATAAAAGATTTGAATGTTTTCTATAGAAAATCTTTAAATAGAGTCGTCTTTAATTAGCAGCACGCAAAGATTAAGAAAATGCTAACCATTAATTAACTGCACTTTCCCAATGGGGAAAACATTCAAGAATTAATATTGTCAACAAAGTCACTTGTATCCCCTCAAACAGATCGGTTAAAATGAATGGAACTGCATCATGTTTTATTCATATTTACATATTTTAAGTTGATTAGGAATTTCAGAATCTTCCTGTTGGTGATTCATTACTTTCTTTCTCCCCTGGGGTACAAACGTGATATTACAAAGAGGCCTGCTTTTCTAGGCACTGGTCACAGGCTGGTAGTGGAACCATATATTTCTATCACAGAGTTTGGTAAGAGAGGTAAAAGAAATCTTTTTAGCTCACCATTTTAGCCCTCCAGCAAAGAGAGGTGACAAAGTTTCCATACCAATCATTAGACACTATGTTCTTTGAAGATACACTTTTCTGTTCAGAATGTGCTTTGGTCAGATTGGAATGATTGAGCGATTTGGTTATAAACTCTGCAAGTGGGTTTGATGTCAAACGATGGGCGCACCTGCGGAAAAGCACCTTGTGTCTACTGTTTAATACGGTGGAGAGCCTGTGATGCTGTGGGCCTGTTTGCAAACTTTTTGAATTAGCCAGAGATTTTTAACTTAAAAAAATCACAATCTGGTGGACTCCACTAGTATAATAAATTATTGATCTGTAGCAAAACAGAAACTATTTGAAGGACAAATTCCAGTAGAAAGCCAGTATGGTGAACTAAAAGAGAGACGAGCATCAGAGAAAACCCAGGACATATAAAGCGACTGTGCAGAAAGAAACAGCCAATGATTCGTCTCTGTTTTAGTCCTGACCTTTGGAAAAGTTACAGAAGTTGACTAAAAACTTCCTGTTGACTAAAAGGGCTGTAAAAAAATATTAGTAAGGTCCCACTGGTTTTGTTAAAGCAAATTCTACAGGTGTTCTTTCCAAGCCAAGTAAACATATTCAAATAGGGTGACATTTTTATTATGATTTCAGATAGTTCTGCCCCCTGAACATCTTCTGTCTGAAAAATATCCAAGAATGCTACATGCAGAGGTTTCAAAATAGGTCGTTGAGTCCTCAAGGCTGTGGGTGACGTCACGGTGGCTTTTAATCATCACCTAATTTCAGTCTGAAGTGTACAGAGGTTAAAATGTAGCCCGCACGTCAGAGGGAGATACATTATTCCTCGAATTTTAGCTTAATCTTTTTCCTGATTTTCAACCAGCCAGAGTCAGAGGCCACGTTTTCGTTTTAATTACTGGACGCTGTCCAGTTTGAGGTTATGGGAGAGTTCCACCGCTTTCCCCACGTTCTTCGCTTGCAAATGTTTTAGGCATTTTTTTCCCCCCCTTTCCCTTCTGCAGCTCTCCATTGTTGTTGCCACACCTTTCGGTATGACAGAACACACGGCCGTATGGTGTTCCGCACGGCCAGCTCTCAGTCTGCACGAAGCATGAGGATCCTGGACTCATGAGTGTGACCACAACTAAATGGCTTAGCCAGTTTGGACATATGGAGCCCCCTCCCTCCCTCACACTCCATCTCCAAACTACCACCATGTTTTCCTTCACACTTAATTGTTGTGTGGGGAACAAAATGCTGTTCACATTTCTTGCTCACTGTTAGAAAGCTAGCAGACTGAGCAGATCTTTCTGAAGCTGGAACGTCACTCTATTAAAAAGATGAAGGCTTTTAGGGAGATTTAAAAAATGAACAGTATCTATACCTCTTGAAGTATTAGCATTTATTGACGAGTCACAACAAAACATCAATGTGTCTTACAGTGATTTTATGTGATAGACCGGCACAATGTGGGACATAATGGTGAATAAGCTGGTGTCCTATCAGTGCTACCTCGTCATATTACGGATAGCTATGTCTACCTGTTGGTGCTACGCGTCCAACACTGCTACCGCCATCTTTACAAACCCAAAACTACAGCAGGCAGTGTTAATAATATTATTTGAGTGACGGGACTGAAGCAGAAGCTTAGGAGTTATGCTTAGCATAGCACTGGAACAATTTATACACACAACAAAAACACAACATTATCACCTCATCAGAATATGTTACCCGTTTAAAATGAAAAGCTATTGCAGATGTTTGCACTTATCCTTTTATAAAAGTAGCCTACCTTTTAAAAAACATTTTAAATACACAGATATTTGCAAGAATAGAGCAGGGAAACAAGTTTTTACTGAAATTAAATTTGACACATAGAGTTCACTACAACTCTTTCTTGCGCATTAATACATTATATGACTATCAAAGGCAGCACAGCCACAATGTGTCCACCGGATTGCACAGGTCACTGTGGATCTGAAATGATAGACGCAACTTCAATCTCACGTTGCTACAAACATGCTCTATTTAGCACAGTCTAGTTTAAAAAAAAAACTATTTGAAGGACAAATTCCAGTAGAAATTTGTTCCATCACTAATGTGATGGAACAGTAGTTGGAAGAAAGACATAGCTTGTTATTCCCCGACAACAAGCAATGTCAGGGAAACACAGCAAACATGCATCTAATGAGAGACTGCTCCCCCCCCCCCTCCAAAACTCAGTTATAAAACATAGTGGTGGCAGCATTGTGCTGTGGGAATGCCCATCTTCAGCAGGAATATGGATGTTGATCAGGATTGATGGAATGATTGTTGGAGCTAAATATATGGAAGAAAATTTATTAGAGGCTGCAATAGATTTGAGATGGGGTTAGAGGTTTAGCTTCCAGTGGGGGAAATGGACCAAAACAAAACATACAGAGAGATCTGTAATGGAAAGCTTTAGGTAAACGTCTGGTCACGTGTTAGAACAGGCCAGGCCGAGATCTGAATGAAATTATGACTCTTCATTGCTATTCTGCAGAGATGTTTTGAGATGGACAAACCTGGGAGCCTAAAGACAAAGGGAGGCTCTATTATGTCTTGACTCAGGAGAGAGAGCACAGCGTTCAGATTTTTTTAATTTTCATAGTAACCTGAAAAGCCATTAACAATTCGCTTTATACTTTGTCTTGGTCTATTACATAAAATCCAATTAAAATACAATGCAGTTTGTGGTTCCAACAGGACAAAATGTATCCATGTTTTAAGGGGAATGAATACTTTTTTTTTTTTTTCCAGCCACTGTCATCTCTGTTCTTTGAAGTCGGTGCGCACGTGCAGCCAAACAAAATGTGGCAAAGACGGAGGCAGATTGTTGCTGGGCTTTGCATTTGCATTATTGTTCCTTCAGGCACATGGAGGCATGATGCAGTAAAAACCACAGCATCTCAAGTGATTACGAAATAAATGAGAGTAATATCGTCCTCCGTGTTTGGGAAAAAACAAAAACAGTTTTTGTTGCTTCTTTGTGCGTCGGCTGTGCGCTGTTGGCTCTGAGAGCTAGACGTTGTTATTACCATCCACTCCGCAAATGTCTCATGTTTGTGCTGGAAAAAAGGCGAGAAGAGAAGAAGCGAGCTTGGAAGTCTCCAAATGTGTCTCCACCGTTCTGGTAAAGCAGGCGCTGGGCTAAATTAGCAGCAGCAGCAGCAGCAGCAGCCATTAAATTATTATGATAACAGTATGTAATTATAAGAGGCCCTGCATATACTGAACCACAGTCACGTCAGTCATTGAACACTGAGCTCTGAGGGGAGATAACAGATGATGAGAGGTGAAACAAACTAAGATTAAAAGAAAGCTATGCAGAG